TGAAAGACATGACTATAGACTCTAGAACAGAAACAGATAAAAAATAGGTGAGCTCAGGCCCATGATGGAAACCATGAATGCCGAGCATAGGAAAGAAATGGAAACCCTGAATGCCCAACATAGGAAACAAATGGAATCCATGTAACAGTTTCAAATAGATATCCAGGAGATTAAAAATGCTATAGAGGGGCCACCACCTGCCTCACAAGCATAAAGTCCCAAGTTTGATCCCTGGTACCCACCCCCCAAAAAGCTACAGAAAGCATTTGCAGCAGAATGAACGAATGTGAAGACAGAATTTCAGACATAGAAGAGAGGACTGCAGTCAGTGACCATGAAAAGAAATATCTCTCGGGGCTGGGGATTTGGCTCAGTGGTTCCACCGCTTGTTTCACAAATGCAAGGACCCAAGTTTGATCCCTGGTACAAAAAACAAAAAACAAAAAAACTCTTAATAATAGTAAAGTATCATGAGAAATCAATCCAACAACTCTTAGATGATGCAAAGAATAATAGAAGTCTGATAGGAATCCACAAAGTAGAAGGAGAAAGTACAAATGACATAAAAAATACTCCATAGAATTAATGACAGAAAACTTACCAAACTGAGGGAAGAATTTGATATACAAATAAATGAGGCATTATAGGAATTCAAATAGCCATTATCAAAAAATCTACACCTAGATATAAAATAATCAAGAGCCTGAAACCCAACAGAAGAACAAAATACTACAAGCAGTTAGAGAAAAGAAACAAATTGGGCTGGGGATTTGGCACAGTGGTTCTGCCACCTACCTCACAAGAACAAGGGCCTGAGTTTGATCCCCGTACCAAAAACAAAACAAACAAACAAAAAGAAACAATTACATGCAAAGGAAAGCCCATCAGAATCACAGCAGACTTTTCAACATAAAACCCTCAAGTCAAGGAGAGCCTAGAGTGAGGTATTTCAAGTGCTAAAAGAAAACAACCTCCAATCTAGACTGATGTATCCTGCAAAACTGTCTTTCACAACTGATGGGGAAGCTGGGTGTGGTGGCACATGCCTGTAATCACAGCACTCGGGAGGCTGAGGTAGGAGGATTGCTGTGAGTTCGAGACCAGCCTGGACTACATAGTGAGCTCCAGATAAGTTGCAACTACATCGTGAGACCCTGTCTCAACCCCCCTCCCCGCAAAAAATGATGGGGAAATAAGATACTTCCATGGCAAAGAACACCTGAGAAATTTCATGAACACAAAATTAGGTACTCCAAACAATTTTAAACAATATCCTGGAAAAAGAAAATGAAGGCCACAACTCCGTAAGGGTGAAGAGAGCAAATATACCAGGCAAGGCAAGAAATTAAAGGGAGAGAGGGAAAAATAGAAAATAAAAGAACAACAGGAAAATAACATGACAGTGAAAAGTCAATATGTAATAGTTATAAACATCAATGCTAATGGCCTCAATTCACCAATCAAAAGAAACAGACTGGCAGAATGGATTGAGAAGTAAAATCCAACAATATACTGTATACAAAAAACCCACTTAATCCACAAAGAAATTCATAGACTGAGAGTAAAAGGATGAAAAACAATTCTCCATGAGACAGGAGCCCAGAAAAAAGTGGGGGTAGCTGTCTTATTTGCAGACAGAGTAGATTTCAAACCAAAACTAATTGAGAGACAAAGAAGGCCACTACATCCTTATAAAGGGAACAATACAAGAAGAAGAAATGACAATCATAAGGATATATGCAATAAATACTAATGCTCCAACTATACAAAACAAATATTAATGGATATGAAAAACAAAATATACCCTTAATACAATTGCAGTGGGGGACCAATACTCCACTGACACAAATAGACAGATCATTTTTAGACGAGAAATCAACAATGAAATAAAAGAACTGAACCAAGACTTTGAATAAAAGGACTTAGTAAATGTCTACAGAGTACTCCACCCCACAAAATCAGAATATACATTTTTTTCAGCTGCACACAGGTCATTCTCCAAAAGAGACCACATGCTAGCTCATAGAACATGCTTAAGTAAATGCAAAGGAATTGAAGTTATCCCCTGTATATTATCACACTATAGTACAATTAAATTGGAGATCAATAGCATAAGAAACCACAAGAACTTTACAAATACATGGAAATTAGAGAACACCCTGAACAATCACTGGGTCACAGAGGAAATTAAAGAAGAAATTAGACAGTTTTTACAATTAAATGATAATGGCAATACAACATACAGGAATCTATGGGACACCATGAAAGCAGTTCTATGAGGGAAATTCATAGCAGTAAATGCCCATACGAGGAAAACAGAGCAAGCTCAAATAAATAACCTAATGCTTAACCCTGAACTCCTAGAAAAAAGAAGAGCAAGACAAACTAAAAGTTTGAACAAGGGAGGAAATTATGAAGATCAGAGTAGAAATTAATGCAATGGAGACTAAGAGAATGATACAAAAAAAAAATCACTGAATTGAAGAGGTGGCGTTTCAAAACAATAAATAAAATCTATAAATCCTTAGCCAACCTTATCAAAAAAAGGAAAGAAAAGGCTCAAATTTATGCAATTAGGAATGAAAAAGGTGAAGTCACAACAGATCCACCAGAAATCCAGACCATCAATATCTACTTTGAAAACCTGTACTCTAATAAAATGGAAAATACAGAAGAAATGGGCAGATTCTTAGATACATATGAACTTTCAAAGTTGAACAAAGATATAAAAAGTCGAAACACCCCAATTACATTCTGTGAAATTGAAAATGTAATTAAAACATTACCAACAAAGAAAAGCCCATGTCCTGATGGCTTCACTGCTGAATTCAACAAGACATTTAGAGAAGAACTACTGACATGACTCTTTAAACTCTTTAATGAAATTGAAAGGGAAGCAATACTTCCAAATTCATTCGCAGAAGTAAAGTATTACTTTGATTCCAAAACCAGGGAAAGACCCAACCAAAAAAGAGAACTATAGGCCAATCTTCCTAATGTACACAGATGCAAAAATCCTCAACAAGATACTGGCAAACAGAATACAGAAGATCAGCAAGACGATCATACACCCTGACCAAGTCGGATTTATCCCAGGAATGCAAAGATCATTCAACATATGTAAGTCAATAAATGTAATACACTATATTAGCAGAATCAAGGATAAAAACCAAATGATTATCTCAATAGATGCAGAAAAAACATTTGACAAAATTCAACACCCATTCATGATAAAAATCCTATAGAAAATTGGAAGAGATGGCCTTTATCGCAACCTGATAACGGCTATCTATGAAAAACCAACAGCCAAAATCATACTAACTGGTAAATTGAAAACCTTTATGCTAAAATCAGGAATAAGACAAGGATATCCACTATCACCACTCATGTTCAATATAGTTCTAGAAACATTCACCACAGCAATTAGACAAGAGAAATAAAAAGGAATAAACACAAGAAAGGAAGAAGTTAAACTGTCACTATTTGCTGATGATATAATACTTTACATAGAAGACCCAAAAAACTCTGTCAAAAGACTTCTAGACTAATTGACAGATTCAGTAGAATAGCTGGATACAAGGTCAATGCTCAAAAATCAATAGCCTTTTTGTACACAAACAACTGACTCATTGAGAGAGAAATTAGGGAAACAATTCCTTTCAAAATAACATTTAAAAAAATGAAATATCTAGGAATCAATCTAATGAAGGAGACAAAAGACACACTGAAAACTACAGCACTCTGAAAAAAAACAGATAGAAGAAGTTATAAGAAAAATGGAAAGACATCCCTTGCTCCTAGGTAGGAAGAATCAACATAGTGAAAATGGCCATACTTCCAAAACTGCTACACAGATTCAACGCAATCCCAATTGAAATACAAACAATATATTGAGAAAACAATCCAAAAATTCATTTGGAACCAGAAGAGACCTAGAATAGCAAAAGCCATTCTAGGCAACAGAGACATGGCAGAGGGTATCACAATACCCAACTTGAAACTATACTACAAAGCCACTGTGATAAAAACAGCATGGTACTGGCGAGGAAACAGAGTTGAGGATCAGTGGAATAGATAAGAAGATGCAGAAACAGCAGACGTACTCAGCTATCTTATCCCACCTCACTGACTCTAATAACATTAATTTGATAATATGAACACACCATCATTCTATTATGCTTTTAGTGCCAACGCTGAGTATTTTAACATGTGTGTCTATATGTGTGTGTGTGTGTGTGTGTATGTGTGTGACTTAACTGTTCAAAGGTGAATCACATTTTTCCCTTCATTTCAAACAGCAAAGGAATTAACACACTTCAACTATGAACATCTCTATCCAGTTTTACATGCTATTGTTGCCCTGTATTTTAATTCTAAGGTGACAGGTTCCTTCTCCAACCATGTGACTATACTATCATAACAGCTATTTACACTTCTTGGGGATGTAATCATGCCGTTCATTGGAACTGTTACAATCACTTACGATGGCTTGTTTTTGATACTAGGTATGTAAGTAATTTTGAGGTGATTTAAAGTATATGGGAAGATTTCTTAGGTTATATGCAAACAGCACAACATTTTATGTAAAGAACTTCAGCATTCATGGATTTTAGTATGTACTGGGGGAGATATCAAGGGAGAGCCGTATAAGTTTGAACTGCAGCAGTACAGTTCATAATTACTAAATTCATTTGTTTTGCCATGATTTATTAATTTACTTATTGATGATACAGGTCATCAACTATGAGCCAGACACAAGAGCTATAAAGATAATTAGGTCAGGGCCAGGGATTCAGCCCAGTGGTTCTGCTGCCTGCCTCGCAAGTGCAAGATCCTGAGTTTGAGTCCCAGTTCCAAAAAAAAAAAAGATAATTAGGGCATAGGTCTTGCTTCAAACCTGGGGAGTATGGTGAGCAGATTTACACCCAAAATTATAATTCAATGTATAATACAATGATAAAGTATGAGCAAAGTTCAGAAAAAATAAAGTATCTACTTACATTAAAAAGTTGTTTTTTAGCATATGTTCTAATCTGTCCTTGGTAAGAAAAGACAAAGAAGAAAAAATTTACAATGTAATTATAGTCATTGCATGTAATTAACATACCTAAAGCACAGCTGTACTGCACTTTATCCACAAAACTAATTACCTTGTGGCCAGGAGCTATGAATTTGTGACAAAGTTCAACATCTTCAGGACAATTTGAGAGAATGATCATTGTTGTAGACTTGAAGAGATCCTCTATAACCTAAGAGAAATGGCACAGAGTTGACTGAGAAATGAGCAAATTTATACAAAAATCCTGCTCAAGACCCTGAGGCCTGGCCTCCAAGTTTCAGCAACTATTAAGCCTCTTAAACCTTTAATGTACTCTAGCAAATTAGTCTGGTTTCCCAGGAAGCTCAATTTCTTCTGAGAGGGAGAAAAAAAACACAGAAAAAAAGTTTGAATCTTATGTTAACAGCTTCAATTACTAGTATTGAAGTGAAATGTCAAATGAACAGCTATAACTGACACCTTTCTAAACATCAATAAACTAATTTGTAGAATCAGGACATTGATAGTACCTAGCTCAAAGGAGTTTGTGAGATTAAATGAGATAATCCATATGTCAGATTTATTAGCTTAGAACTTGATCGACATAAGTACATAAGTATTAGTTGTTATGAACAGCAAGTTTGAAAAGTACTTCATTCAGTCCAAGATAAATAAAAAGTAAACTTTAAAATTTGAACACAAAGCAATGAGACAGAGCTAAATATAAATGTAAATATAAATATATAATATAAATATTAATATATACTATTTTTTGGTTAAACAAAGTAAAATAATATTAATCAGCATATGACAAATCAGCATATAAGAAATCATTCTACCAGTTGTTTCCATAGACGATTCATGGCAGGTAACTGTTCTTAGAAGAAAACATGAACTGGATTGGAAAATATTTCTAATATCTTTAAAATCAAATCTAAAACCTTGGGGAACTTGGGTCATAGGTCAGTGGCAGAGCACATGCTTTAGTATAATGAGGACCTGGGTTCAATCCTCAAGACTCCACACAAACAAACAAAAAAATAAATAAAAAGAACCAAGATACATCATGTAAAGGTACAAGATCCCAATGATGACTGTAACTATATTGCATATCTTTTTTTTTTGGTGGTGGTACGAGGGATCGAACTCAGGACCTTGCGCTTGTGAAGAATGTGGCAAAACCACTGAGCTAAATCCCCAGCCCCTGTATTGCATATCTAAAATGTACCAATAAACTTAATGGGATTTCTGGTTTAAAATCAATAAGCTCTCATTAGGTTCTGCAGATGTGGTGTTCATAAACATATATTTATAAAGTATAGGATGCTTCAGAGGGAGGAAATCTTCTTTTCCTCTGCTGCATGACTTAGTATACCCCATCCCAGGCTAGAAACACACAGGGACACAATTGTCTACTGAAGTAATTTTAATATGATCAGTTATAGGAAAGTAATCTAATTCCAAGTGATAACCAGATATAGTTTATGAGGCATCAGTCTTTGTTAGCCGCATTTAAAGCAGATGTCTTGCTAGCTATATTGCATTCCTGCATTCCTGCATTATTCTCTTTCTTTGTGTTACTATAGCCATATAGCTTTCCAATCAATACATGTATCTAATATAGAAAGAAAATGGTGAGCATGTGGGTTTCTCAGGCACTGACAATGTAATACAGTAATGACAACTAATTTGAGAGATAGAAAAAGAAACTAGAATCCAAAGACTAGATGAGTAAAGATAAAAATGAAGGGATAAGTAGAACTAAAGTAGAACTTTTTAAAAGCCTTGTACCCTGAGATGTTTAAATGTACACAGTGTAAAAAAGTAACGTAAACCACAATTACAGAAATCAAATAATAAATAATACATTCTAAATCTGTGAAGAAAAGAAAGAAAACCAGATGAATTCCATGGAGAGGGAAACAGGAGAGAGAAATACATTGGTGACAGAAGAAGAGCTGGAGGCTAAAGATCATTTACCTTGAGTCTATATCATCTTCCAGCCAATAGTGAGATAAAGAAGTTACTAAATAACTGAACGATTTATGACACCTGTAGAGAAAAAGAGCAGGCAGACTGGGTGACAAGTAAACTGGGTGGCAAGTAAACTGGGTGGCAGGTATACTGGATGGTATTCCTGTACTGTTAAGGGACACAATGTGTCTATCTGTAACACAAGACTTTGAACACTAGAGTTGTTAAACTGTCGGTCTTTCTTAAGTAGTAATTTCAATTTAAAGATGAAAGTCACTGACTTCCCTAATCCTGACTTTCAGACCATGCTGTAAAAATATATCTGAAGAAAACAGAAACTTAACTGAAGGGTTAGCCTTAACTCTAAGATGTTTTAAAAACGTATAGTCAACGTCACTAAAACAATATTTAAAATTACTTACAGTTCATGAGAGGAAGCAATATTTTATTACAACAGTCTGATTTAATATTTAAATGCTCTTCATCAACATAGCTTCCACAGGATGAAAAAAGCAAACACTTCAGAGGGGCACATTCTTCTGTCTTTAGGAAAAATGTTTATATATTCTAAGTAACTAAATCATTCAACAGTGAATGCCTTGAGTATCATGGTCCTGCGTAGTAGAATAACACAAGTACCAAATCCCTGACATCAAAACTTAGATATTCTTTTTATTTAACTTAACATTCTAGTTGTTAAATATGGTCAGCATTAAGATTCACAAAATTAATCAGAGGCCTTTTGGTATAATTATGTAATGAACTAAGTTGGGATAATTCCAAGAGTAAAAAGTAGAAATATTTTACTATTTTTACCTGATACAGAAAAACAAAAATTGAACACAGTAATAGGGTACCATGTAACATTTCAATATATGTAAACATTGTGCAATGTTGATATTATATTAAAGATGTCTATTTCCTCATGGTAGAAACACTCAGCATCCTGTCTTCTAGTTTTTTCAGATGTACAGTGCATAAATGTTATCGAATTATATTCTTTTTTTTTTTTTTTTTTGGTACTGGGGATCAAACTTGGGACCTTGCACTTGCAAAGCAGGTAGTGGAACCACTAAGCTAAAACCCTGGCTTACAGTCATTCACTCTATTATATAACACCACATCAGAGATTCTTATTCCTATTTGTTACTTAGTATCTTTTGGTCAATATTTCCCCATCCCTCCATGCCTCTGTTCTCCCTCTATCCTCTAGTAACCATCATTATACTATCAATTTCTATGAGATCAATTTTATACTCCATATATATAAAGGAGAGCATGTAGTATTTGTATTTTTGGGTCTGGCTTAACATAATGACCCCAACTCTATCCCAATTCTATTTGCAAATAAATACACAATACTTTTTTTTTTTTTTTTTTTGGTACCGGGGATCAAACTTGGGACCTTGTGCTTGCAAGACAGGCAGTGGCACCACTGAGCTAAATCCCTGGCCAATACTTTTTCATTTCATGAAAATATAAAACAAAATTTCATAACATAGAGAGAATAACTTAATATATTGTGTATCATCTTCAAAGTCACTACTGAGTACAAGGAATTGACATAACATTCTCTCTTACAAAGAAGAAACAAATAATAGCACAAAACCTTTTCAATGAACTAAGAGAAACTACTAGTATAAATGAAACAAGTTAGCATATATATTAAAAAAAATTTTTTTTGGGTACTGGGGATTGAACATGGGTCCTTGCACTTGCAAGGCAGGTGGTGGAACCATTGAGCTAAATCCCCGGCCCTAAAATATTTTTAAACAACAGAATAGGCAATTTGGGGACTTACTTGAAATTCTACTTCCTACTTATCTGTTTTCTATTTTGTTCTTGTATATATGAGTTTTAAATGATGAAATACTATGCCATTGTGCATACCACAATATATATGTTTTCTTTGTACCACATATTCTGTATTTATTTATCAGCTGATGGACACTTGGGTTGTTTCCTTATCTTGACAAGTATGAATAGTAACACCAGGGTGCAGATGTCTCTTCCACATACTAATTTCATTTCCTTAGGATATATATATATATATATATATATATATCTCCAGTAAGTAGTGCAACTGCTGGATCAAATGGTAGTTCTATTTTTGATTTTTTTTTTTTGAGCCATTTTGAGTTGATTTTTTAAATTGGTGAGATGTAAGGGTCTAATTTCATTCTTATGCATGCGAATACCCAAACTGTCTCACAACACGCATTGAAAAGACTTTTTTTCAATGTAGTTTCAGCATCTTTGCAGAAAATCAGCTCACTGGAAAGATGAGGGATTATCTCTGCACACTCAATTCTGTTCCATCAGTCTGTGTAGCTATTTTTTTTTATTCAATATCATGCTGTTTTATTGGTTTTGTTTTTGGGGTTTTTTTGCTGGTAGTGGTACTGAGGAGTGAAACCAGGATGTCCTCACTGTGCTATATCCCCAGGTCTTTTTTATTCTGAGGCAAGGTATTGCTAAATTGCCCAAGAAATTGCCACATTAGCTACTATTGCTATTGCTTTGTGATACAGCAAGCCCCAGCTTGGTTCTTTTACCCAAGGCTGCTTTGTCTATTCAGGATCTTTAGTGCATCCATAAATTTTGGAGTTGTTTTTCTTTGTGTAAAGTATGGTGTTAGTATTTTGATAAGTATTGCATCCAATTTCAATTGCTTTGCAAAGTATAGCTATTTTAACAATATTAACTCTTATAATCTATGAACATTGGCAGTCTTTCCACTTTTTTGTGCTTGTTTCTTTCACTGGAGCTTTGTAATTTTCTTTACAGAGGTCTTTCATTTTCTTGATTAAATCTATTTCTAGGTATTTTATTTTTCGTAGCTATTGTGAATGGGATTGCTTCATGATTTCATTCTTAGCAGTGTTATCAGTGGTACATAAAAATGCTAATTTTTATGTTGATTTCTTCCTATGCTGTAACTTTACTGAATTTGTCAGTTCAGTATTTTAGTAAACTACTTAGATTTTTCTATGCATCGAATCATAGAATCTACACACAGGGATAATTTTACTTTCTTTATTGCTATTTGTATGGCTTTTATTTCTTTCTCTTGCCTAATTGCTTTGGCTGAAACTTCCAGTACTATGTTGAATACAAGTAATGAGAGCAAACACTTCTGTCTTGTTCCAGGCCTCAGAGGAAAAGATTTTAGCCTTTCCCTGTTTAGTATGATGTTGGTTGTGTGTTTGTATAAAAGTCCTTCTGCCCCTAATTTGT